CTTACACCTCCCATGGGCCTGCTGAGCTGCCAGACCAAGTCCTATGGCTTTGTAGAACGCAGTGTGGAATTCTCTGTCCTACTTGAAGAAGGCTAAAAGCATCAACATGTTTACACAGGAGAAGGAGTTTGCCCCCACTGCTTTTATCGTCTCGCTCTATCAGCCTTTCCTTGCTAGTGTCCAAAATTGTATAGTTGTCTAAGCTTTGACTTTCCTCGGTATATTTTCGGGAGAAAGCAGATCAGAGTTTTTTATAGCAGCAACACAGGACTTCCTAATTTTCAGTGATTTATTTGTTCAGTAAATATTTCATGTACTAGTTTTGTTGTGTCCCAGTTTGGGGCGTATGATAGTGAACAACACAAGGATAAAATAGGCTCTGCCTTCGTGAAACTTGGTTTCCTGGAAATGGAAACAAGGAATGATGGGGCAGTAGGAGCCGTGACGTGGGAAGCATGGGGAGTCCAGGAAGGGTTATGGGAGGAAGTGGTGTCTAGGCTGAATCAGCCCCGATGTGATGAAGGAAGGGCTAGAGCAGTAAGTAACGCTTCTGAAGGCCCAGGGCTTGGCATGTTTGGGTAATTATATGAAGTCACACTAACTGGAGTTGGATGTGAGAGAAAAGTTTGAGAGGTGCATGAACCAGACCTTTTAGTTGAGTTGGGTAGTCCTGTGTTTCCCAAACCTACCTTGATTATAAGACTCTCTAGAATGAAGATTCCAGGTTCCTCTCCTGGATACTTTGATACAAGCTTCTGATATAGGCAGATACAATGAAACCCTTGCATTTGACTCTGTTTTCCTTGGGATTTGGTTATACCGTAGAATATTCACATCTCATCCTCATGAATGAGGCAAGCCATAATGTAGAAAGAAGGGTTAATCCTTTCTTAGCTGTACCCCATCTTTCTCCTGTATATCTTGGGTACCCAGTGTCCTCATATTTTCTCCTCTTTGTTCAGGAGCTTCACTGGGCTCTCTAACGGGGCCCAGATTTCTGCCTGGGAATTTAGTTAGGACCCTTCGTACCATTTCTTGATAAGCTTGAAACATATTGCCTGACATTAGTATTAAAATGACATTTTACTGTATTTCTTATAATGAACTATTCTTGAAATGAATGATGATGAAGTGAAGAGTAATCATTTCTCGTTCAGAATCCCCGATGGGATAATATAATCATTTCAACTTCTTCACTGGGGGCTTTCTGTTCTTTTTTTAATGTGTCATACTACCATGTTTTCTGATGAGGAAGTTGACGTGACACTTACATAAGGGAAGTATTTTAAAAGTGAAGGCTATTCTTAGAGGCAGTGTATAAGGATTTTACTTAGAGAAACCAGAAAAGGTGACTGCTTCAGAAGAAGGTAAACATATGGGAAGTTTGAGAACCTGATTAGTTGAATGTTGGGACAATAAGATTTTAATAATGTTCTAAGGTTATTGATTTTGTCTTCACTTTTAGAAATTATTTTGAGATTTGGAGTGCTGTTAGATTTTTTAAATGATATTGTGGCAGGGCTCCCTAGAATTTCTGAATCCTGTGCTATCCCACTGCTGTCTCTACCTTTTTTCCCACTGGGTTTAGAGGGATGTATTTTCACAAAGAACAATGGCAAAGGAAGGCAGAGTGATACTTGATTCTTGACTAGCACCTGAAACTTCAGTGTAGAGATTTCTGGCAAACTGGGCTGAAGCATATGGAGTTTCCCATTTTCCTAAACTAGATGGCTTTGAACTTGTGTGATATCTGCTCTATTTTGTTTTGCAGCCCCCAAATCTGACTCTAATTGCACTGGAGAGAGAGTCTGAAGAGAGTGCGTTATACCAGGTGCACTGACTTTTTCCTGTAGTTACTTCTCCACTAGCAGATGTGCCCTAATAAATGTCCTGCAATCTGATCAATCTGATCAGTAATCTTTCTGTTTGGTCATTTGGGGATGGAACTTTCCCAGCTATTCACATTAGTTTTCTCAGAAAAATATTTTATAAAGATAAAGGTTTAGGCATTAAAATTATTTATCTACAGTGATTTAATGACTGGTTATTTTTTAAATGCCCTTTAACGTTTGTCACACTTCTTTCTTAAAACCATTGTTTTTTTTTTTTTAAGATTGGCACCTGCGCTAACAACTGTTGCCAGTCTTCCTTATTTCCCCCTGCTTTTTTCTCCCCAAATCCCCCCAGCACATAGTTGTGTGTTTTTTTTTTAGTTGTAGGTCCTTCTAGTTGTGGCACGTGGGATGCTGCCTCAACATGGCCTGACGAGCGGTGCCATGTCTGCGCCCAGGATCCGAACCAGCGAAACCCTGGGCTGCGGGGAGCGGAACACGTGAACTTAACCACTCGGCCATGGGGCTGGCCCCTGGTTTTTGAATAATTAATACTTAATAGTTTCAATTAAAAATATTTGGGTTGATATAATATATTAAACTAAATGAGTAAAAGCAAATAGGACTGAATAAATTTAAAAAAGAATTGTAAACCTTCACTCTGAAAACTACAAAACATTGTTGAAGGAAATTAGGGAAGACTTAAACAGGCGGGAAGACGTCCTGTGTCAAAAGATCAGGTGATTTAACTGTAAGATGGCAGTATTCCTAAGGTGATTCACAAACTCAATACAATTCTCATAAAAACTGGCTTCTTTGCATAAATGAATAGGCTGATCCTAAAAATTCATATAGAAATTCAGGGGCCCCAGAATAGTCCAAACAATCTTAAAAGAGAAGAACAAAGTTGGAAGACTCACACTTCGTAATTTGAGAATTTGGAATTTGCTACAAAGCTAGAATAATCCAGATTGTGTAGTACTGACATAAAGATAGACGTATAATCAGTGGGATAGAATTGAAAGTCCAGAATTAAACCCATACATCTATGGTCCCTTGATTTTTTTCACAGTGGTGCCAAGATCATTTAAAGAGGAAAGAGGAGTCTTTTGAACAAATGGTGCTGGGACAAATGGATATCCACATGCAAAAGAATGAATTTGAACCCCTACCTCATATCATGTAATAAATTAACTCTAAGTGGATTGTAGATCTAAATGTAAGAGCTAAAACTATAAAACTCTTAAAAGAAAACATAGGTGTAAATCTTCATGACCTTGGATTAGGCAAAGCCATCTTGGCTATGACACCAAAAGCACAAGGGACAAAAGAACAAATAGATAAATTGAATTTCATCAAAATTAAAAACTTTTGTGTTTCAGTGGATACAACCAAGAAAGTGAAATGACTACTCACTGAATGGGGGAAAATATTTGCAAATTGTTTATAAGGGACTTGTATCTACAATATATAAACAGCTCTTAGAACCTAATAATAAAGAGCCAGCTCAATTGAAAAATGGGCAAAATCACTGCTAAGGGCAAGAGATTTCTTTTGGGGATAAAGAAAATGTTCTAAAATTGATTGTGGTAGTGGTTGCACGACTCTGTAAGGACCATTAAATTGTACACTTTAAATGGGTGAATTGCATGGTATGTGAATTATATTTCAGTAAAGCTGTTATATTAACAAAAGAAAATAGGACTGTATAGTATATCTAGAAGAATAGAAATTTTGTGAGAACCAGGTGATGGAGGAAATAATTTCAGTCATGGCATCAAGGTAAAGGTTGATTGAAGTGAGAGTAAGAAACCCTTGCTTTACTTTTTGGTCAATAAATATTACTTTCACCAAAAACCTGAAAAAAATCCTTCCCTTTTTTTCTATACTGTGAAGCGAGCGGAAATGAGAGATGCCTGTAAATATTGGTAGAAGGTAACTTGTGCCAGTTCACTTTCCCTTTGTTGAGTCAAAAGTTGCTGCCGGGTGTTGTGAAGGCAGCATAGCTGAAATAAAAGGCTTACGTTGGGGGCCAAAGGGCTCTGAAGTGCCCTTAGAATCCAGACTTTGTTTATAACAAATTTTGAAATGAGAACAAAGTTTGATTTATAGAATCAGGTTACTTTAGGATTTGTCCTAGTTACTATGGCTGTATATCACTTAGCCCCAAATGCTCATTTATTGTGTTTATGCATTTTGGGGGTCTATAATTAGGATAACATCCAGTGCCGATGTCTTGACTTTGCTTCATGATGTTTGAAGTCTCAGCTGGAAGACTTGAAGGCTCAGGGCTGGAATCATTTGAAGACTTGCTCACTTACGTGTTTGGCAATTGACGCTGTCTTTTGGCTGATGGACTCAGTTCCCCTGCATATGATCCTCTCTTTGTGGCCTCTCCACATCAGCTAGTTTGGGCTTCCTCGCAACATGGCATCTGGGTTCCCAGGGCAACATCCCGAGAGAGTGCGAGCAGGGCCCACTGTACCACCTTTTATCACCTATCTTCAGAAATCGTGCAGTGTCACTTCTGCACATTCTATTCGTTGAGGCAGTCACAAGGTCCTGCTCAGATGCACATAGAGGGAAATAATCTTTAGTTCTTGATGAGGAGGGACAGTATCCTAGGAAGCACATAAAATACTGGTCTGGAAATACCATTGTGGCCATTTTTGGAAAAATACAGGCTGCCATAGACCTGGAAGGGGCCCTTAGAGATCAGTTTGTCCAGTTCCCTCATTTTACAGATGCAGACTTTGAGGCCAAGAGGAGGTATGTGTCATGGCCGCAGTCATGGTCTGTGGTTGGTGGTCAGGCTGGGGCTGGAACTGAGCTCTCCTGACTGTAGGCTAAGGTCTTTCCTACTATACCACCTTGCCTCCCTTCCTAAGATGGATAGTTCATTCACTCATATCGTGAGTGTTCCTCCTCTCAGAGTTTTCTTAGCCTAGCAGACAGGATAACATAGGCAAAATTATTGGCATAGTGCTTAGCGTGGAGTGGACATGCAAAAAGTGTGCCTAATCCTTTTTCCCCACTTTGTATTTTATCAGAAGGCCTAGTTGACATGTTATGTATAGACTCTGCCGACACAGTGGAGTAGAGTCACTTCCCAGCATTTAGACATTAAATGGTAAATCACCTTGGACTTTTTATTTGCCCTTTTTTCAGGTGCTCAGAATTTTGACGTCATACGACTGTCAACTTACAGAACAGCTTGCAAATTACGATTTGTACAAAAACGATGCAACCGTAAGTCATTTCTACTCATTTCTGTAATAGCTGGGTAGAGCTCTTGATAATATAAAAGAAATAAATATCTTTTAGTTTGTAATAGAGAAAAAAAATCAAAACCTTATGTGGTAAGGCTAAAAATCATTTTTTTAAACTTTTGTTTTTTATGTATCTGGGTGTGTGTGTGTGTGTTGATTTAAATATATTTCTGTGGGTTCTGGTCAAAAAGTTTGAAAACCACTGTCCTAGGGCAACTACTGTATTTTTTTTTCTTTTTTGCTGAGGAAGATTTGCCCTGAGCTAACATCTGTGGCCAGTCTTCCTCTGTTTCGTATGTGGATCGCTGCAACAGCATGGCTGGTGTGTGTTTTAGGTCTGTGCCTGGGAACTGAACCCAGGCCACTGAAGCGGAGTGTGCTGAACTTAACTCCTAGGCCACCAGGCCGGCCCCAACAGCTACTGTTTTTGTAATTCTTACGGTAATTATTTTTGAGAACTGTAGTCTATGTGTGGAGTGTTGAGAGTCTGAACCAGGCTAGCGGCATTAGTAATGTAAAGTAAAAGATGCGTTGTTCTAGAAGTTTTATTTTGTCACCTATGATTCTTCAATCCAACTGAAAGTGTTTTTTTTGGGGTGTACAGTATAAGTAGGAGTCAAATTTCAGTTTTTTCCATAGATATGTTCACCTGTCCCTGCACTGTTTATTGAAAAGACCATTCTTTTTCTTCACTGCTAAAAAATCTTTTCCTCGTATTCATTGAGGGAAACATACAAGAATGTTCTTAGCAGGGTCCACACATGAGAAGATCTGCTCTTGGGCACTCGTGTTCCATTGATCTGTCTGTCTGTTCTTGTACCGATAACACTATTAGAGCTTTATAGTAAGTCTTGTTATCAGGTAGAGGAAGTCTTCCTACTTTGTTCCGTTTTTCTTCTTAAGATTGTCTAGGACATTCTCGGCCTCTTTCCATTTATTTTTATGCAAATTTTCGAATCAACTTGTCAGTTTCTACTAAAAACAAACAAAATAAAACAAGAACTCGGCTGGGATTTTTTCTTTCCTGTCTTTTTTCAAGTATAATTTACGTATAGTAAAATTCATCCTTTTAAAGTATAGTCCTGTGGGATTTTGTTGGGATTGCGCTGAATCTGTAGACGAAGTTGAGTAGACTTGACATATTTCTGACGTTGAGATTTCCTCCTGTGAACATAGTATGTCCCTCCATTTATTTAGGACTTTAATTTCTGCCAGTTATAGGGTTTTTTTGTAGAGATGTTGCATATCCTTCATTGGATTTCTCCCGAAGTCGTTGATGATTTATGATACTGTTATAAATAGTATTTTTAAATTTCATTGTCTGTTACTGATATATAGAAATACAGTGACTGGGGCCGGCCCGGTGGTGCAGCAGTTAAGTTCGCACATTCCGCTTCAGTGGCCCAGGGTTCACCGGTTTGAATCCCAGGTGCAGACATGGCACCACTTGTCAAACCATGCTGTGTCAGGCATCCCACATATAAAGTAGAGGAAGATGGGCACAGATGTTAGCTCAGGGCCAGTCTTCCTCAGCAAAAAGAGGAGGATTGGCAGCAGATGTTAGCTCAGGGCTAATCTTCCTCAAAAGAAAAAAAAATAAAGTGACCTTTATATCTTGACTTATATCTAGGAATCATTCTAGACTGAAATATCAATTTTAGTCGTTTATCTGTAGAATTTTTATGATTATCTGTGTATAATTTTGTCATTTCTGAATAATGACAGTTATATTTCTTCATTTCCAATACTTATAGCAGTAATTACTGCATATTTATATTGGTTAGGACCTGAAGTACAATGGAAATGATGATAGTGGGCATTTCTTATCTCATTTCTAATATCAAAGGAAAGGCTTTCCACATTTTACTATTAAGTTATATGTTTGCTGCAGTTTTTTGTAGATACCCTTAATCAGATTAAGGAAGTTCCCTAGTTTGTTTCTTCATTTCTAAAGATGACTTATTTTAAAAATTGTCTTTCTGCTGATGATTTCTAACTTAATTTCATTTTGATTAGAGAGCATGGTTTATATGATTTTAATTCTTGGAAATTTGTTGATATTAGCTTTGTGACTCAGAATAAAGTCAATTTTTATACATGTTCTTTGTATTCTTGAAAATAAAGCATGCTAGTCATTGGGGGCAGTACTTCATATAGTGCCCATTATGCCTATTTTGTGTGTTGTAAAGTTTAATCATCTATTCTGTACTTACTTCTTTGTATGTTTGCTCTCTCACTTACTAAGAGAGGTGTGTTAATATCTCCTACTAAGTTTGTGAATTTGTCTCTTTGAGTTTCTGTTAAATTTTGCGTTAGGTATTTTTGAGGCTATTGTAGGGAGAGCAAAACTTTACTTCTACCCTCTTAGGGTCTCTGGTTGGGCCCAAGAATTAAATTGACATAGGACAGATCAACAGGGGAAAAGCGTACAGGTTTTTACATGTACCTGGGAGCACCCATAGGAAAATGAAAACCCAAGGAAATGACTAGACCTGAGTGCTTATATACTAGGGAACAAAGAGTAGCAACTGTGGAAAAGTAACCAAAATATATGGGTGACTAAAGGAAGATAAGAGTTATTTTAACAGAGTCGGTACAGATGTCTCTTGACCTCAATTCACTGTCTCTGGTGATAAGAATGTTTCTTTCCCCCTGGAATAGGGAGAGCATCTTTCACGTGGGAGTTTTATTTCCTGCTTTCGAGAAATGAGGAGTTCACAGTGCCCTTCTTGGCACCTGCTGTTTTTAAGTGTCTTTTAACTCAAAATAATCCTCATGCCAAAGTGTCATATTTTGGGGTGACATATTTTGACACCCTCCACTGTTCTGTTAGATAGAAATAAATGTAAAGTTCTTATATCTTTCTGATTAATTAAAACTTTTAAATTGCTGACAGTTTATTTTCTTTGTGTCTTAGTCCATCTTGTTGATATCTGGAACATGATCGAAGCCTTCCGAGACAATGGCCTTAATACGCTGGACCATACCACTGAGATTAGTGTGTCCCGCCTCGAAACTGTCATCTCATCCATCTACTACCAGCTGAACAAGCGCCTGCCTTCTACTCACCAGATCAGCGTGGAGCAGTCCATCAGTCTCCTCCTCAACTTTATGATTGCTGCATACGACAGGCTAGTACCTTACATGCTTACTTCATTTTAAGAACGTTTTACCTAAATCATCCTTCTTCCACACTGCCTTGCTAAGGGTTGTCAACGTAGGATCACAGTTCAAAGGGAAATTATTCAGTGTAAGTCTCTTCTAAAGACTGGTGAAGTGCCAGAGTGCCTTGCTGTCCTAGGCATGTCACATGGTAAGCTCTGTAATATTGTGCAGAATCACAACACTTGAGACATATTGTTGGGTAACATTTTAGGCACCTTAATATAGCTGGTCTCTATGCAGAGAAAGATAGCTAAGTTGTGAGCTTTATTATGAAGCTTTCTATTTGATTTTTAAACCTAACCTTTCTTTATAACACCAAATGCCCCTGGACTATAGTATCTTGTTTTCTCTTTATTTATGTTTAGGAACCTATTTTAATTTTTTTCAGTGCAGAACATTGTCTGGTAGACCTTACAACAATGGAAGAATACTATTTAAATATACTCCAAATTAAAATCGAAATGAGTTGCTGTATTTGTATTCATGGAGAATTAAATTGGTATTATAAAAACAAAAACGAAATGATGAATATTAGAAGCACAGAGGATAATGGATATATTCCAGGAACCAAGCATTCAGATTTCTGATCCCTGCTATATTATCAACCGTCTGATTTGGATGGGTTAATTCTCTGCTTCATTTTATCTCTCTGTAGACGTACTTTGAGTTCATACATCTCTAGAATGCTATTAATTGTACTTTATAATATTGAGGATTCTGTGAGTTAATAGTGAAACTATACGAGTGTCAAAGCCAAGCCACAACATAGGCACTCATTAAATTCACAACATTTTAATAAGATGTTACAAATTAGATATTCTATCCATTTAATAGGAAATTATTTCAAGCAATTTGAATTTTAAAACAAGGGTGTACATGAGACATAAGTCTCACAATTCTAATGCCATTTTTTAGCAGTTTAGGTTAATGAATCCATAAGGCTAATTTTATACTGTCCAAGGAATCACTGTTTTGATCCAAAAACCTTAGTAAAAACCATTAGTCTGTGGTGAGTGAGCAGCACCTTATCATGACACTGACTCACTGAGTAAATCAGTTCAGGGTTGCACAACATAAGTTACTTCAAGAAACAGTATTTTTTTAAGTCAGAAATAAAAATAATCTTACTGTTTAAAGATGGTAAAGATCATAAACTTTGATTCTGTAATTATATCAAATAAGTTAAATACCGTGGCTAAAGAAGGGAGGAGAAGGAAGAGTGAAGAGATGGCAGAAGGGAGGGTGGGAAGATCAGACGGAAGAGAAGAAGGTACGGAGTGTCCTGGGACATGTTCAGAGAAAGCTGGACACGGGCAGAAAGAGACAGAGGAGAAATGGACAGGAATCTGGTGAAGACAGGTCAGTGGAAGGGCTCACTGAAGAGAACCAGGAAGAACAAGAGTGAGTGAGTGAAGGAGAGTGAGGAGTGTAGTATATCGGTGGTGAGTTTAGTAATTCTTGAGTCATATCTTATTTAAAACTTTGACCATGGACATAAGAATAAATCATCCCATCTTTACTAACCTTGAAATCTTTATACGAAAAGAGCTTATTTAGCTCCCCAGAAATTTGAAATTGACTTTCACGTACTGGAAAAAAGAAAGGATATGGTTATCAGGATTTTATTTTTGAAACTCAGGGCATTTTGTTGTTAAATATTTCAAATAGTAGTCTTTTTATTGGTTGGCCACTTTATTACTTATGCTGGAGACTTCCTTTGATGTTTAAAATATCTACTTACTTATTTGAATCTTTTCAGAGCTTTTGTATTTCATAATTTCTTAAAGTTAAAGCTTGAATGCAGCAATTATTTAATTATTCTTAAGTTCCGTCATCTCCAAATTCAAAGTCAAATTTTTGACCAGATGGTGTCAGATTATTATAATAGATTATAAGACCCTGAAGCAATAGTCAGGAACATAGTATCTAAGACTTTCTTCCTTAAGTGTGTATTTTCTTAGGAATTAATTATTTTTAATACTAAAGATTTTAAATATTTCATATTTGCCAATTTTTAATTGAAAAGTACAAAGAACAGAATTAAAATATCTGTGTATAGGGTCTTAGCAAAAGCTATGAGGAATAGCTCAAACATTCTGACAGCCCCATTTTTCCCCTTATCAGGTCCTCAGTTCTGCCTTGTTGGTAGTTATGTGGTCTGGTCTGAAGGTACAAGTGATGCTTTAACTAACTTTTTCTTTTTTTTCCCCTCTAACGAGGATATCGAAATTCCCAGCATGAAGGACAGAAAATCTTCCTTACTCTTCTTCAGTTGAGCCGATTTCATAACTTAGGGCTTGTGGTTTACAAATCCGCTTTCTATTGCAGCCTCTGTGCTAGTTCAGTGTCTTCACTTGGAAGCAGTAGGAAGCCTGCACTTGTGGGCTTGTACAGTAACAGGCATATGGACTCATGTAACAGAGGAGCCCGGAGGCAGGCCGCCCTTGATCTTTGTTGCATCAGGGCTCTGGTTCATTTCTTTGTAGTGGTCTTGGCTTTGCTCTCCTCTTCTATCAGCTTCATCCCTATGCTGACTTCAAAAAATGCCTGCTAGCATCTGCTAAATGCTTCCTCTTTCAAGTCTAGATGGGGGAGAGCCAGCTTCTTTTAACACCAAACAAAAGTACCTGAGCCTTCCTCCAGAAATGTGCATTTGGGCCGTGTCTATGTGGGTGTTAGCACTTTCTAGCTGAAACAAATCACGATTTGTGCCTCTGGAGCAGAGGGTAGTTTGATTATCACCCTCACCACGTCTTGCTTCATAGTGGGGGATTGTTGGACTGGATATGAGGAAGACGACCACGGTCTTCACCATTAAACGCCTTGCCCTGCGTCATAAACTTGTTACCTTTCTTGTTAGATGGCCCCACTCTCCATCCAGTTCCTTAAATCTCAAACCTGAGAATCACCTTAATACCTTCTTCTCCCTCTGCCCCCAAATCCGGTCAGTTGCCACGTTCTTTCATTTCTATCTCTTGACTATCTCTCAAATCTACATGCTTCTCTTATCCCCACTGCTACCATCAAGGACCACCAACATCAGCTTTTCCCTGAGCTGTTGCTTCTAATTGATTTTTTTGCATATACTCTTTCTTCCCTCATTCGTGCTTAGAAATAGTACACAACCATTAACCCACTATCTAACCCAGGAACTTGAACATTGACCATACCTTACATTGATCTCTCTTGTCACATCCCACTGACTTCTGCCTCGCTAAGGGGAACCCTATTCTGAGTTTGTGTTATTACTTCTTTTCTTCTTAAAACAATTTTTTCACATATATAGGCATAAACAGAATATTGTTTAATTTTAATTATTTTTACTAGTTATAAAAAGTGCCATGCTATATGTACTGTTATCTAATTTATTTTTTCACCTAGTAATCTATTTTAAAGACTCATTTATTTTAAAGACTCATTCATGTCACATGTAGCTGTAGTTCACTTTTATACTAACAGTGAACAATATAACAGTGAACACATTCTGTGTGTTGTTATGGCATTTTGGTTTTTCCCAAGTTTTTGCTCTAAGAAACAACACTGCTTGGAATATTCTTATATGTGTCCTGGTCCATGTGTACAAGTGTTTCTCTTGGTTCTAAACTAAGGTATGGAATTGCTGAGGTGTGTGGTATGTGAAAGTTCAGCTTTAGAAGATAATATCAGGTTATTTTTCCAAATTGTACTGATGCGTAGATCCTTTTGATCCACATTCTGTAAGGCTTGGAATTGGCAGATTTTAGTTTTTGCTAAATGACATCTCTTTGTTTCAGTTTCCATTTTCTTGATTAAGTGTGTCTTCATGTGTTCATTGGCCACATATGTTACTTCTGTGAAATGCCTCTTCCTGACTTTTGCCCACTATTCTAATGTGTTGTTTTTTCTTTTTGTATTGATTTGTAGGGCTTCTTCATATAATATAGATAACAATCCTTTCTTCGTTACGTGTGTTGCACAGATATTCTCCCAATTTGTAGGTTGACTTTTTACTTTTCTTAAGATATCTTTGTCTTAAAATGTTTTATAATGAAAAATTTCAAATATATACAAACATAGAAAGAATATTGTAATAAAACTTAAGATTCCTGTCACTCAGCTTCAATAATTATCAATACATGGCCAATCTTATTAAATCTATATCCCAAGGCTCTCCACCTCTATGTTCCCCTCTTTCCTGGCTTATTTCGAGGCAACTTTCCCATGTCGTTATCATTTTATGTGTAAATACTCCAGTACATACATAGTCTGTAAGATGGGGTTCCTTTAAGAAACTATTACCACAATGCCATTATCTCACCTAAAAGTTAACAAATATTTGTTAATATCTTGAAATATCAGCTTTCTCATTTCACTAAATCTCTTATAAATTTTTATTTTTATGTTTTAATTTGGTGCCAGCTATTGATTGGGCCGTAGTGATTTCTGACAAGAGACTTATTTTTTTAGAAGACTTATTTCATTTTGAATTGCGGCTCTGAACTTTTCGTATTTTAATCCTGATAGGGCGTTCTTCTTGGATAGTGACTGTATTCTATGTTTTCTACTCCCTGTGTAAGAAAGAAAAATGTTCTGTAGTGAGTTTCTGAGAAGTTCTCTTTACACTTTATCTGGCTATTGAACCTTATTTTTCTTGTAATTTTTTTAATCAATATTTGTTTTGCAGATGAGTCTGTGGCCTTCACCATAAGTGTTGGTTCAGAGAGATGATGAAATCCCACATTAAATGGAACAAACCTATAAAAAATCATATATGTAATAAAACTAGGTTTGGATAAAATCTTCAAAATATATCAGTATTGAACATACCAGTGAAAAGCCCAGGGTTATTTTTTACCATCTAAAATAACAGTAGAAAACACTCTTGCTAACTTGAACAATCTAAAGATTCCCTTAGGGTAAAGACTTCTATATATCTAATTTATGATGGATTTATATGAAAAAAAATACCTATATAGTTTGGAAATAT